CTTGCACACTTGCATTAAATTAAGTACGAAAACATTTATTTTTGCCCTATGTCCATACAGGACAATGTTCATAATGTTCATTGTAGTTAGGCTGATTGCTACCTGTGTCGGTGATTGTGAATGCGTGTATGTGCCCTATGATAGACTGGCATTGCCATGGATACCCCGATTGATTGAGGGGACCCAGCACTTTACGGAGCCCCCTGAATACTTAAAATTATATCGTCACTGTCCGATGAAAGATGTGCATTTCCAAAAATCAATTATTTCCAGAGCATGAAAAAACACATTTTCTAAGAAACCACTTCACAAAATAAATCTAAAACAACGTGAGTGAGACACCCTTAACAGCGCAAATAGAAACCTGATCTTTACACAGCTACCAGTGAGAGATTTAATGTTTTAAATGGATTTTTGTGTGGATTGTTGTCAGTGAGGCGAATATGTCAGTGTCAATAAAATATGAGCTAATCTCGTTTTATACTCACAATTAAATATGATCTCAATTAGCTATCTAGTTATCAACGTTATTACAATTAGTGCTATAATCCATACCAAGGACCACCATGAATACAAATGTTAAATAGTGCAAATATAAACACTAGTTAAATATCAGTATTTTTTATGTTAAGCAGTTAGAAGATGGATGGATTATGCCTGTATGTTTGTTCATAAATGTACTTACTGCTAGATCTATGCGCATGTATCGGTTGTATTGCACAACATGCCTCATAACTGTATTCCAGTGCCAGTCAGTCTGTATGTGTGCAAACATGCTTATCGATATTATTCACATTCGTTTCTGCGGTATATTTAATGGAATTCCATGTTTCTCGAGTTCCTTACCGTGCTGCTCAGTGATGGCGTCCCCAGGTCACGGGCCATGACGGTGATGTTGTAAAACGGGACAGCCTCCCTGTCCAGCTCCACATCTCTCTTCACACGCAGCTCTCCATCCACTGGAGACACCACAAACTCGCCTAACGGGGCGACACCCACAGTCAGCTGACACACCCTTGTCTTTGTTAGGGTTTTCCATTGACTTCTCCTGTTCCTAACCCGACAAAACTCAACAATTAATGAAGGCTGATAAAAACCTATTATTTATGCACTAAGTTTACTCAGCATCTTTTAAATACTAGACATAAAATTTGCAAAACAAATGGTGTCGCTTTAGTTCAGTGTTTAGTTCTCTTTCCAATGCTTGTTGTGTATCTCACGCATGTTTTCGAACCTGTGACTTACTCTGGGGGTCTCCCGCTGTGATGCTGTACTCCACCTTGCCGTTGAGTCCCGAATCCTCGTCTGTTGCTTTCAGGGTCCACACACGAGGCCCTGGCTGGCCCTCAGTGATGTCAAACGGTCCCTCGTAAGGCCGAGGGAAGGTGGGCTTCACGTCATTGATGTCAATAACATTTACTATTACCTGGTAGCAATAATGACAAATGAAGAGCAAAACAGAAATACCGCAACCTAGAATAAGCTAGAATTTTAACAGCAATAATTTTACCAACATCCTTGATTTAACGCTTTTATCATATATTATTTCCTACCTCAGATTATTTACAACGGTGAGAAAGCCTGCTCAATGGGCCAAACAATGATATATTTTTATTAAGAGTACAAGTTGATGACCCCAAGGTATTCGACTGGATTACAAGTATTTAGGAAATGATTTGATGCATCGTAAATATTTAATTTCAACCACGAGTTGATTTAATTAATTGAATATTTTGAAAATCTAACTGAATGAACTGATGAACTTGACAACCAGCACAAAGTACTGGAATGACATGACATTGTGCCTCATTCTGTGGAAAACAAAACATCAATTTGTGGGCCAAATTTAATACTGAATTATAAACATGTCGCAGGCCAGTACTTTGAGACTCCTTATGAGCAGTGCTGACGAGGCCCCTCATTCTACAGAGGCTACTACAGAACAGACAATCACCTCCATTATTTTAGTAGTTGTGTCTACTGGTCCTACTAACTTTGAACAACTTTAAAAATCTGGCAGCAATATCGGCTAAGACTGACACATCAGACCGATGCTGATATCTGGATTATTAATTAATATCAGCCATTACTGATATATTAACTGATACTGTATATTGTCCATCTCTAAGAGAGGTATAGGAACCTGTGTACCCCCAATATTTTATTTGGATTCATTCATCCCCACCAATAGACCTTTATATTTAAATGATTAAGTTGTGTCCACTCCCATTATAAAATTGCCTTACACTGGTACCTAAGACTAACATGACTTTGCACTTAACTAGCTAGTTAGCTACATCTTGACCATTGCTACTGTAGCTACAAAAAATAACTACTTTTTTGTGCCACAAAACCGGGGCAAGTTTCCCAAAAGCATTGTAGTGCAAAGATCATCAAGTAGCGCCTTCTTTATGAGTATTATTATAAGTATTATTCTTACTGAGCCTTCCCCTGCCACACTGCTTTTCAAAAAATTGCTTGCTGGTGCTGTTACTTTGTGCGTTTACCTGCAGCCTGCGAGCAATGCCTGGAAGTAGGAATATCTTTACGGAGAATTTTGTTTCCCAAAATTTATTATAACCGATTCTGACATTACATATCACATATCCATGCAATTGAATCACCACCTTAATAACTGATTCATCATAATGTATCACTGTATCATTACACCCTTACTTTCATTAATATTTATTTATATATCATATTTTTTATTAATAGTAGGGTTGATAAATCTGTATTATATTGGCCCATTCATTTTTTCTAGGTTATCCACTGTAGCATCCAGACCAAAACACAACTGAATCCAGACCCTCTCTCCACTCTGGACAGCTTTGCATTTTTCAGATGCAGTGGAGCTTGACTTTGTGTTGTATTGCAATTTGGGACTTGGAAAGATTGTTGGGCATCCCTACACTACACGGGGACTTGTAGCTGGAAGTCAGTCACTAGGTAGAGGGCACAAACTCATACAGTTTAGGGGACTCAAACGCCAACAAACACGGAGGAACATGCAGAATCCACAACAAGGATCTGAACCCACAGCACTGGTTGGCATGGGGGTACCACAAGAAGGATCTGAACCCACAGCACTGGTTGGCATGGGGGTACCACAACAAGGATCTGAACCCACAGCACTGGTTGGCATGGGGGTACTTTGCTAGCTGGTAAGTCAGCATTTTGCCCCTATTTGTGTCATCATGTGAGTTTACTGGGCAATTCTCACCGTGGCGCTGGATGTCAGGCGAAGTCTATGGATGGGACACTGGTCAGTCGCTGTAACTATGAGTGTGTAATGTCCACTGCTGATCTCGTAGTCCAAGGCCTTCACTGCTACTATGGTCCCCTATGCATGATAATACAATCAATACATTTACCAAATCAACGTAAAACATGGCCAAACATAACTGTCCTCCCTTTAGACTGAATCTGTGGTAAGCTCATGATTTATCAGCATACAGTATTGTTTCCTAAACAGAAAGGCTATAATAAAACAAATGCAGTTATGAGAATTAATTAATTAAAAATAATTATAATAAAATAACAATAATAATAATAGTTATTATGATATCAAATTCAAATATAAAGTATTCTTCCTATTTGTGATCTTTGTGGGATGCTCCCCTTACCGTGGTGTTATTGATTTGAAAAGTCTGGATTAAATTTCCTCGGGCAATGGAGTAGAGCACAGTGCCATTAAGGCCCTCATCCAGGTCCATGGCTGTCACCGTGGCGATGGTGGCACCCTGAGTGCTGGGACCTTCACTCAGCACCGTGACGTACTCATCCACTGGGAACTCTGGAGCGTTGTCGTTCTCATCCACAATGTAAACCAGGACTGTGGTAGAGGACTGGAGGAAGATGATATAGGGCAGCAGGGGTGTCAAACTCCAGTCCTGGGGGGGGGGGGGGGGCGGAGCCCTGTGTAGCTCAGCTCTTTCCCTGTTCCACCACAAACGATTTAGCTTATGAGCTCTATGGTAATTACAGTAGCACAAGGAGTTGAATCAGGTGTGTTAAACGAGGGTGAACCAAAAACTGTGCAGGGCTCCGGCCCCCCAGGACTGGAGTTTGACACCCCCGATTTAGAGGATAAGCATGAAACTGTACATTTCAGAAAGCATTCATCACTAATGGACAGTAACCATCACTCAGGTTGGGAGGGGGGAACAAAACCATGTGACACAGGAGTGTGGCACGAGGGCAAGGGAGAATTCAATATGCCTAAGCTAGAGTTGTTAGTATTTCATTCATTCATCCATCCATCCCGAATCAAGTGGTTGAGGTTTGCAGTATATGGGTCATTCTTATCAATGCATGAAATCAGATGTTCAAGCCCAATTATATGACTTTAATTGCCGAAAATTGTATTATTTTTAACGATAATTCATTAGCCTTTGAAGTATTTGAGACTACTTCATAACTCTTAAACATACAATACAATATTTTCACTGAAATATTATTACAGTGACAATACGATATGCATTTTACTGCAAAGTATAAACTTTTAAACGAAACAAAACTTTATATAAAAGCAACAATAGAAGTGGAAAATAATACATTTTCATTAAACAGCAATTTCCTACAATATACAGAATCCTGGGGAAAAAAAGACTGTAATATACCTAAAATGCAAGGCGATGCCAATGGCTCTACACACAAAAAAACACTACTTCATTGTGTTTTTTATTTAAAAAAATCTCAAATTTGTGATAATGACCCTATTGTTGGCGAAAGTGTAAGACTTTTGTTCGAAACCAGAACTTATTTGACTCCGTACAAATAGAAATGCATCTGACTTAAGATAGTTCATAATATACTAATATATTTTGTATTAATATGTCGACCTACTAATATATCGTAAAAGGAGGAAGTTTATAAAAGAAAATAATGAATTTATAAAAACAAAGAAGGTAAACAGCTTGTTTGAATATTGTATATTTTTGTTTTAAGAAGACGACAGAGAGAGCGAGAGAGAGAGAGAGAGAGAGAGATATGGGGGGGTGGAGAATGAGGATTTCCGTAAAGTCCTCAGCTGGGAACAGTATGTAGAGTTAGCACCAAAACTAAATCACCGTTTCCGCAAACGCATGAGGTTGTTGTGTAACAAAGAAGCAATATACGATAGTTTGGAACACGAAAGACAAACATTAATAAAGGATTTTCCGCAACACGCACGCATTTGAGCAAGATCACCATGCTGGATTTATACTGGAAGTCGTGCCCGGGAATTCACTTCGGGTTCTGCTGGATCTACATCTGCCTGACAGCGATCAGTCTTCCGGGTCCAGGTAAGTAAAAGCAGTGCGCGGTGCCGACGGCAGATTTACAGGGAGCAGCGAGGCCAGATGCTGAGAAATGTTACTTTTGGTCCATCTAGTTGAAACATGAGGACACAGTCTGCGCTTTTATACACTGCACATTTCAAGATACACTGAAAAGTTCTAGTGCTGAATGATTTACTTCCTAGTTACAATTATATATATAAAAAGAAGTTTCAACTCTTCTGTCTCTCTATCTCTATTTTATTTCATTGCAATTCATTTCATTTTCCTGAGTCAGAACTAAAGCTATTCAGGGAGTGCAACTTAGGGTCACGAGAAACACTGCTTCGCTTTCTTGCATTGACATCTTATAAAAACATATTAATGTGCCCGCAAATTCCTCGGTGCACATTACAGATGCCCATGTTTCGAGATGAACACCTGGCGAAGGTCTGGGGTTTGTCTGACCTCTCTCTCCCCTTTGGCATTACTCTGATCCCCGAGACAAAAAACAGCTGTTGCCCCCGGAGTGTGACGCCGTCACCGTAAAGCACTTCAGACGGTTTGGGTTGCATCGAAAGCCATCCAGCCTGCCTGGGCTATTGAAACTGCAAGAGAAACGCCCTGCATGTCCAGATCCTTTAACCGCGCAGTGCCCTAATAATCCAGTGTTGAGGGACGTTGAAATGTGTTTTAATTCACGTTGCACGTCTGCAAAGGATCTACGTTTCCAGTAAGGCCTGTTTAAATGTAACTTTTTTTCCGTGGAAATAGTTTATGCGCAAACCTAATTATGCAGTTTCCCCTTCACATTTTCCTCTGTCTAAAGAGAAAAAAGTACCAAAACAAAGGCGGTTGCGCATTTTAAAAATGTGCAAAAATTGCGTTTTCTTAGAAAAACTTTCCTAGAGAAGTCAGTACTGTTTAGCTGCCAGTCCGCACATGCCTAATGAAATGGACATACTCATAGTTTTGGTCTGCATCTGTGCTTGTGACTAACGCTGTACTAAAATATACATGTAAGACCCAAAATACATCACTGTTAGTGGGCTACCTCAGAATGTGCCACAGAAGAAAAAGCTTGCTTTAGGCACAGAGACAAGCCAGCTTGTGAAAGTGGAACAGCCTGACTTGTTTTTGCAGTTTTTTTTTTTTTGTTTTTTTTAATTATGGTTTTCACATTTATTTAAGCCTCAGAGGAGGGGTGGAAATTTAAGCATTACTGGAAAATAGGGAACGACTGTAGTGATTAATACTGTTAAGTATGTTGGACTGTGCCTCTAAAAAACAATAACAATGTAGACAGGAGAAAAAAAAATATATTTTTTTTTACTGCGCCCTGGTTATCTGCTTGGTGTCAGCTTTACTCAAGCGTTTCAGCTAACGTATCTCACTACAGCTTACGAGCCGGTGGGGGTGAGAGGCGGTTTGAGACATTGATCTGCAGGTGGGTTGGAGCTCAACTTAGGCCCTGAACTTGACCTTACCTCTCAATAAAAAAGGCAGCTTCTGTCCGCCGTTGAACTAAAGGGAATCGTGTCAGATACGCTAGAAGCACAGAACCCTAGATGGCTTGGTGCTGCCAGAACTTGTATGGCTGCTGAGAAGGAGTTCAGCACATCTTTTTGCCTGGTTGGACCAGCATTGACACTGTTGACTCTCAGACTCCCTCAAGGTCTCCCACCACTAAGGTTAATCCAGACCTCCAAACATAAGGATAGTTCAGTCTTACCAAGTATGCCACCCAGGGTTGAACTGGAGGGCTCTTAGCTGAATGGGTCAAGATGGCCGCTTCAAGGTTATTTCTGCTGAGGCCGTGTTTGGCTTTTCTCCTAGAACCGAGCGTTCCCTTATCCACAACACAGCCGGAGGCCTTGGGCCAAGGGCGTGCCTCACTCTCATTCATCCATCCACTCACTTCCCATTAGGACGCACACAGCAAGGATGAACTCAAGGATAACATTGCAGTATCTGACCTTAGCCTGACCTTGACCTAAACAGCTGGCATCTTACACACATAAAACACATGCTGCTGTAGGATGACTCAATACGATGGCAGTTGTGAAACAGAAAATTAAGAAATGGGGTAGCAGCCCACTCAGAACATTATTACGCTAAACAATTTTGCAAGATATCCTTCTCGGTCTTTACAGAACAAGGCTGGGGAACCTTATAATTAAAATGGAAGAGGCTTGCAGTGTGGGAGGAAGATGGTGTGGTGTTCGCAGAAAGGAGCTGGAGTTAATCTTAAGAGACTGCTGTGTGATACCATTGTGGAAGTGAAACCAGTGCAGCACCACATTAAGCAGACTCTCACAAGCATACGGGATGCAAGGTCTCATGAGCTTCACTGGCTGGCAGGAGATGGAGAAATGGAGCTAGCTGGGACTGTGACAGGAACGAGAGGGTCCATTTTGTTAACCCTCCCCCCAAACTAACTGTCATTTAACAGGGGGGAAGAGCCTTTGACCTTTGTCTGCACATCCCCTTTCAGCACCTCTTCAGCAGAGAGTAACCTACACCACAGATAGCTTGGTAAAAGGTCTCTTTAGGGAATGAGCTTTGTTGTGCCTTCTGGTAATTAAAATGGAGTGGGGGGGGGTGTTCCCTCATATCTCCTTGGCTGTGTCATTACTTCATAAGTTGCTTATCTGTGTGATCTTAGCATGAAGCAATGGCTTAGTTTAACGTAATATTTCTTAAGCAAGAACCAACGGATTTCCAGAATTCCACGGTTTTGGTGTTTATTTTTCTTGTTCCAGTCACTTATCCTGGTTAGTGGTGCAGTCGGGGTTGGGCAGGGTGGGGGCACTATCCCAGAGCAGTACGGGGGGCATGGTCAGGGTGCACCCTGGTTAAGTCTTATTAGCTAGTGTAATTTTCATGGTTATACTGAGGACAATTTTTATATGTAGCAAAATGTGATTTGGAGACTTGTGTCTGGACTATATTAGTGATAATTTTCTTAGTAAAATGAAAAGGTTAATAATTCCCTTGAAATACGAGAGCTTGTTGCCTTACACTAGTGTGATTATCACCTTTTGACTACACAACAAATCACGGTGCATGCCTCATGACTTCTCGTCTAAATTATAGTGCATCTCAACCACTCCAGTACCTGGAGGGTGGAACTGTGTGGGAATGAAACGTAAAACCGGATTCCTGCAGGTAAAACAGGACTCAGCCCAATACCAGAAACGTGTGCGGTCAGACACAGACAGACATTGGAGAATGATGGGCTGCAGCTGCGATCGGAGCATCTTTTAGGATACGGATCTGGCCATTTCGCCTAACAGCAGCACCTTGCGTTCATTGCTGCCCGCTACCTCTTCTGACATTAGTGTCAGCTACTTCCATACGCATCCAGACCTGATACGGATCTACCCCAGTCGATCCACATTAGAATGGGGGTGCAAATAGTGCAACTATCTGAGATAGTTGGTTACAGCACAGGATTCGAGATTCAAGTGGGCGGCCTTAGGTAAATAGTAATAAATTGAGCCGGTCTGTCTCTATTCAGCAAACAGCCACAAGGTTTCTCAAATGCACTCAGGCCACGCAGGGCGTCACGTGCAGATTAACAGAAGTTTCAGTCTGTAGTGTAGGTGTGAGCTGCCGGTTTCAGGAAACGACAATGGAAACAAAACCTCGGGGGTGAAAGGGCGGCGCGAGCGGGGGCTATTCAGGAGGTCGGGCCGGATTCTCTCAATGAAGGCTGGACTCTCCAGAGACTGGAAACAGGAATTCTGGTCCGAGATCCTGGCATCAATGGAAACTATGAAAATCTCATAATGATGCGGAAGGCTTTATGGTGTGAAACAGAAGCCAGCGGCGTGCTGTATTGTACCTCGGAGAGACAGGAAGAGTCTGGGGGCCAGGAGGTTCAGTTAATCACAGCCCCTGGGTTTCCTATTACTCTTCCTGACACAAACGGACATACAGACCGCGGCCGTTTTTGTTCCATCATACAATGTGCAGCTCCATTCCCACCCCAGCAATCATCTCATACTTCTCAGCCAGTATCTGCCCCCAACTTAAGATAATCGTATCTATTCTTCGGCTAGTCACTTAGCTATCTAGTAGCTAACAGAGAAGTTGCACAAGACACAGTGTGCTTAATATCTGTTGCCAGGTTGAAGGCAGCAGCTGTTTGGTGTAAATCGAATGGGTCGGGGGGGGGGGAGCCATGGAAAAAGCAGTTAAGCTATTCACTATTGTCTGAAAAAAGTTGGCAGAACTTGCATCCACTGTTTCTGGGGGTGGAGAAGGGGGGGGGGTTAATTATTATGGCCACAGAGGACTGAGGGTCTCGCTGTGTGCTGGTAGGAAGGCAGCTGAACAAGGACCAAATATCATTACAGTACAAACAAATCAGCATGCAGATCCAGGGTGAGCGGAAAGGCCCATGTGCCCAGGCAGCTTGCAGGAACATGGCTCTGCTCCAGCCCCACAAACTCTGTATAAGCGCATACATGCTCGGGTCAGCGGGGACTGAATAGATGGAACAGGGTAGTTCCCTGATATCTATACAGCGCAGGCGTGCCTGATCATTACATTGTGGTTTCACACATACAGGAACACCCTGTACGCTGGCATCTCTGCAGTGCCAGAGGGAGGTAAAGGGGACGTGGTCTACAGGGAAAAACAAGGTAACATGCCCTTGCGGCTTAAAGAAAAAAATAGGTGTTAAAGTTAACTTCACAAGTCACTGAGAAAAACGGCGCTGTCAGATTCACCCTTTGACACGCATATATAGTCAGTCACGCCATCACACCTGCAGATGCACGTGCGTGCGGAGGGCACTGCATCAGACAGGCATCCCAGACAGGCCCCGAGAAAGCTGTCCTGCGTGAGCTGGTGCGTGTACATTCTCACAGACGCGCGCACACTCTCACAGACGCGCGCACACGCTCACAGACGCGCGCACACGCTCACAGACGCGCGCACACGCTCACAGACGCGCGCACACGCTGACAGAGATACGCCACTTACACATACAAGCTGCTTTTGTCTGCGCTGCATTTTCAGTTTCGGAAATGTTCAGGAAGGTTGCTTGTTGCTTCTGCTGCCGTGTTTTTCCGAGGATGTTTTGTTCATTCCTCGCAGATAAGATGCACATTACTTATGTTTGTATTCTTGTGGAAACATTGCTTTTATTTACATAAAATAAACCCTCCCCCCCCACCCAATGGGGCAGGCAGGGTGGGGGCCTGAGGACACATCTGTTTTCTTCCCAGTTGTTTTTAATATAATGACTCCCACAAGCTGCCTAAACACAGCATGTCTCATCGGTGAGAAGACATTATTATTTTCTCTGAGTGCTTCTGGGACTGCCGTGGGCTAACTATTATACAAGCTAACACTCATGACTTAAGGGAAGATCAGACTAATACAGATGCAAACACTCCATAAAAGGGTAAAACAAGTTGGGAGGTACACAAAAAATGGAAAAGACTAAAAGTTCAATACAAGCACAGGCATCTGTGTTTATTCCTGCTTCAAACCATCTTTAAATAATAAAGTTCCGGTAGACCTGGAGGCAGTAGATATGCTGGATGAGATAAAGGTAAAATGACCTAGTAAAGCCACACAGCAGTTTCTCAGAAAATCCATCTGCTCGTAGTTCTCGTTGGCTAGATCTCTCGTTTGACTAGTGGTCAGGCCGGCCAGACTGTATATCTGCTTTCTCATTACCGAGATACATGCTCACAGGTGCAAAAATACCATGATGTGATCACTGTCGAGATACGGGTACGAGGACGGGGCATAGAACATATAGTAAGGGTGACAGACGGCATGTGCATGTTTGAAAAAGACGACTCAAAGATTAAAAAGAAATCTGCTTCTTTACACTCTTACAGTAAAATCCTTTTGTTGCCTCAAAACTCTACACTCTGTATACTTTATTCTTTTGCATACTCCATTTTCATGGTGTTTTGTGTTGGTTAAAGACACCTAATCACTGTACAGGTAGTTCTCGCTTTCTGAGCTGTTGATGTCCGAATTTATATCTTCTGCAGCAAAAATTTAAATTTCCTTTTTCATTATTTTTAAAACTTTGCATATAAGTCAGTGCGCGCTGCCCAAAAATGCCATCCCTGGCCTGACAAAGTTTTCTGACAACTTTGCTTTGTAAAATATCTGACTATGCATTGCCAGATTTGTACCTTGCACGTGTGCATCTCTCTGAACCAATCATTTTTTCGTTCTGCCCTAACCCTAACCCTAACCCTAACCCTTTGTGTAAGTAAGACTCCCATGAGCAGCATTAACAGTGCTCTCAGCATCTTAGCACTTAAAACCCCTCCCCTTCTGTCTCTCTACAGCTAGCAGTGACCACCTGAGGCTGGCTGGTGCGCACATGTCCTACATCTGCCCAGAGGGCGCCAGTGTCACCATGCAGTGCATTTCTGAGGGCTCACTCCTGCACGCCGCCGACCATCTGAGGCCTTTTTGGTTTTTCACTCCTCACTTGGATGATACCTGCCAGGAAAAGTTGCACCCCCGCAGAGGCAACCACTCGTCCAGGCCGCCCCCGGGTGTGGAGTATAGTGCCTCGAGGAATACCATCTCCATCACCCTGACCAACGTGACCCGTGCCGACCAGGGGCGCTACTGCTGCGTGGAGTTGGAGGTCCAAGGCAAGCACCAACACATGGTGTCACAGAGGGCCCACAGCCACGTGCTGCTCACTGTCGGCCCACGTAAGTGCAGAACCCCCCACAGTCCGGGCCCCAGACCTTCAACAACAAAAACAAATGTGGACTGTCTGGCAGGGAGCTGGGAGGGAGCAAAAATGTGGGCCGTCTAGGGATCCACGAGGAACGGGTTAATAAACACTGTTGTAGGGAATGAGTATGAGTACTATTTAAACTAACTATTGTACATTTCTTTGGGGAGGGGGGTAGATGGAACAAAGCTCCCCTAAAACAGCCCTAGTGACACCCCCAGTAGACAGAACTCTCACATTTACAAGTTTTTGCTTAGGTTAGTTATAATAAACGCTCCCCGCATTCAGTCCCTCGTAACAAACCGTTCCATTCTACTTGCATATCTGAACAGCTGCTCGTGCAACATTTGCACTTATAATCAGACTTAGGGAAAGTTAGAGGAGGGATGCAAACTTCTGTTTGACTGATTATGCCCTAATACCTTTGCAGGACGAAACCAGACTGCCAAATGTTCGTTTATGGACCATAAACCCACCGAAGGTATCTTCGAACACTTTCACTGACACATTGTTTACTCCAACATTCAACTGGAAAGCATTCTCAGCCATACTGGTACCACATCTGTGTGCGACATTATTTCCTGTGACTATGTTCAGCACTTTACTGTTGGAATTTAAGTTATTTGGACAAAACCAAGACCACTTAGCATAAAACAACCCAAAAACATACAGGACTGCAGGTGCGGAGGACATGGCAAAACCCTTTAATTAAGATTTGGATTTCTCTCTTGCCTCTACTCATCATTTCCCCCTCAGGCACTGTGGCAGCAGGGCTGGCGACAGCAGGGTGCATTATGGGTATTCTCTCTCTACCCCTGATCCTACTGCTGGTGTACAAACAGAGGCAGACGACCCACTCCAGCAGACGTAAGCAACTATGCCCAAGCACACATATGCACTGTAATATTTGCTTAAAAATTACTGCAGTGTTAATTATGGAGATCAAACAGGCATAGTGTTAGTGCATGTTACTATTTGTGTTCACCAGGTGGTGTGAACAGAGTGACACGTACAGTCTCTTTATGCCCTTGTGGGGCTGTGGGGCTGCTTGCAAAGTGAAAGTTCATGAACAAGGTGCTTGCCACCAAGCTGCAGAACCCTCTGTCTGTTGCGTTGCAGACAGCTTGCCAAGATCTGACCTGGGCATGTGCATCATGATTACATAACCTCTATGACAGCAGCACTAAGACAGTTTCTATGCAGCCACCTTTCATAATTGTTGCGTCAGGCATATTGGTAAACTGATGTGCAAGTAAATTACTACTAATTTGACCAGAACACTACTATCTCTTAAAGGCTGCATTTAGAGACATTCAAAGGGCAATAACCCATATCATACATAAAGAATGAAGTTTATGTTTTAGTTACTTTAACATAACAGAATTTCTTTTTTCAATATTTTGTTGTGCATAATATATATCCTGTGTTCAGCATAAAGACACCATGTTACCTTGTACCATGTTAGAGACAACCTTTGGAGACCCAAGCAGGTGTGACGTTGACTTCCTGTTCTGTCTGAGATTCATTTCCTGTTTCTGAACATCAGACCCTGACACTTTAGGCACAACAGTGTTTTCCTCTTGATATTATTAATCATGGCTGTTCCTTCCCCCTGCCACAGGTTCACACGAGCTGGTGAGAATGGACAGGTGAGGTTCTTAAAAACCCATATAGTGTCATGAGAATATCTTTAGGAAAAAATCCCTCTGAGTTCACCTTCATATCTGGAAATCCCATGTGGCTGTCATCCTCCGTTTGCACTGAACAGTGAAGCCCGAGGTCACGAGAACCCTGTGTTCTTGGGAGACGGCCCCCAGCCGAAGACGCGTACCCTGTCCCAGATCCTGACGAGGCAGTCCTCTGAGACAGGACGCCACCTGCTGTCTGACCCCGGCACACCCCTGTCCCCTCCCGCCCATGGGGACGTCTTCTTTCCGGCACACGGTGAGTCCACGGTGTACCTGAAATCGGCCACGATGTCATCATGACCACACAATGCTGATGATGCTGAAATTCTCACCCACGCCGTTGCCATAGAATCTGAAGCTGTATCTGACGTCACATCAACTCTCAGACAGCGCAGGATTCTAGAGCTTTTGAAAACAATACTAATGTCCTTATATCCCAAGACACTAAGAAAAGAAAAATCAAATTGTCACCACAACACTTCAATTCTGACACATTCAGATATCAGATATAGACCAAAATCCCACATTAAACGGTTTCTGAGGATAGGCCAAGACACACAGAAACAACGGAAACACAGGTGTCCCATGACACACTGACACCACAAAACAGACCAGCGCCACATCTGATGTATGTCGCAAAGACATGGGTGTACATCTTTGTTTCCCAATCCGGTCCTTGGGGTCCCACAGACAGTCCACGTTTTTGCAATAATGTGGACTGTCTGGCAGGGAGCTCGGAGGGAGCAAAAATATGGACCGACTGTGGATCTCTGAGGATCGGATTGGGAAACGCTGTCAGAGATGCTTACAGAATGTCCAGTGTTACACAGCTGTGCTGACTTACAGATGCATGCACGGCAACCATTCCCCCTCAGTTCAACACGCATCCCACAGCTGATAGGCCAGGGCAAGCCTCTGTGCAGCTGGAATCCAGAAGTCAAACCCAACATCTTGGCCTATTCACCAGTCCTCTTTAAAGGCTTATTTTAACTTCAGAGCATCTGTCCTGGAATGTCTTCGATTCCGGACTGAATTGCTAATTTCCTGAGGATCAGTATCCAGCTGGGTGTTTCAGGGCTCACGGAGCAGATCACTAATTTAGATTCACTTCTGGATTCCTTTTCTTTGCTCTTTTATGGACATGTAGACGTGCTTTTGGCTAGCCGTCACAGTGTCCTGACCAACACCTGTATGCCAGTATCCCAGGCTGTACTCGTCCTGCGATGTCACTTCCCCCTTTTCTTCTTCCTGTTTCTGTCCTGGAGGCCTGCTCTTGGTTCCTCTTTAGAATGTCATGTTCTGTTTGTCATTTTCTTACGGAGAGCCTGGGCCGCGAGGAGGCTGCATCAGCTGGGTATTTTTGTTTGTTTCTGCTTTTGCGAGCCACCCAGCAACGATATATCTGGGCATACAATAACTGCTGTTCTTAGCCGTCTCTTTTTTTTTTAATGTGAGCCTGGAATGACATAATAGCAGCCAGAAATAGTACATAATATGTTTGCAATTCCCTGGAAACCATTAGCAATGTGAAGGTTTGTGCAGCATGTGCTTTCGTGCAGCGCCCATTGGTGATCTGCACGTCTCAGTCGGTGTGTCCTTCCAAGAAAAATAAGCTATTGCAAATATGAAAAGTTACAGTAACTAAGAGCATTCCTTGTTTTTCTTTCAGAACCTATCCCAGAATCTCCTGATTTCATGCAGGTATAGTGGAGCCAAACCTTGGCATTCAGCAGATGTCTACCCCCAAAAGAAGACACTGTTTCCTGTGCTTGCATTTCACCACAGATATTTCATATTTCATACCTTTTCTCACTGCTTTGCTCTTGAACTCATTTTTGGAAAAGAAAATGGGGGGGGGGGGCAAAACCAACAGGATTTCCCAAGCTCTTCTCTTACAGCCATGGTTATTATGTGCGTCTATCAGGTCCCAAATTCTCAGTTGACCACAAGGCAGACTGGCCACTAAAAGCCATTCTAGAACATTCTTAATGTGCTGACTAGCAGGCCTTTGGTTTTGCCTCTTATGGCATGTACAATATTTCAGCAAAATCCCATATAGCTTATGTATAATGGAGTTCCTGCGGTTTACTGCTGTATTAGATCTTAGGGCAGTAAACGTATACGCAACTGCAATTTCGTCGATAAGGACTGAGCATACTGGTTTCTGACTGGTTTTCTGATTTAGTACTTACTTTTAGCACTGAGGTTTTGACCTCAGTTGTTCTTTCTCTCTTCAAACAACACCTCTGCCTCACTTGTCCAATCAGAGCAAACAGCTAGCGTGCGATGAGGGAAAAGTGCAGAACTTCAGTGTTGCAAATGACACTGCCGGTTGCATCCAGCATGAGTAGCAAGCAGCCTGCAACGTGGTTGTCAGGTGGCACGAACCCATAGTGAACTAGTACATCCTGCCACACCACTGGGAATGAGTGATGTGGGCATTGTGCGGCACTGTTTCTGCTCCCTGTCGTGTTCGAAAGGATCATGTCAATGCTAAGGACTCAGACATTTCTACAATGTTCATGTTCAACGTTTCTAACCAAAGTTCTCTACAAAAGTACACTTTTACCATTTAAAAAGTAATACAGGACTTTACATATTGATTTGTACTAAGAATTTTGTCATATACTATATTGTAACTTTTATATATAAAATGTTTCATGTTTTGATACTTTGATGGCTTTTGAAATGGATGTCTTCTAAAAGTTCTCTTTTGTATGGCATTGTATGCTTGTGCTATATCTTGTTATTGCGATACTGCTGTACAGATAATGTCCTCCAGTCGGAAAGACTCCATGCGATTATGGTTTCTGAGGAAACGCATCAGGGATGAAGCAGTTAAAATTTAGAAGGATGTGTTGTAGGTCAGACCAGCTCTCTCTGCTGACATTTACAGCAAGCAGTGTTGAATTCTTTGTGTTTTAGAGACATTGTATTTCCAGGAAGGAGTATATGCAGAATAGTATCATTAATGTTCATTATAACAGGGTACACAGAGTGCATGAATGAGAAAGTTGGCTCAAATGACGGGTAAAAACTGGATGTCGGTGTGTCTATATGGATAAATTCAGCCAGATCTTATCCGTGATATTACTGGCACACTGACCCTGCTGTGCAATAATTTGTTATGAGTGTGAATGGTACTGAGATGTGAATGTGAAATGACCTACATCAGAACGGTGTTACAGCGAAAGATGTGTACCCATGTGGAACAACATGTGTGCCCACCCATTAATTAAGGAAAGGCCTGTCAATGGAAAGGCTGCTATACTTTATAAAGAGTATTGTCACATGAAGCCAGGATACTCGTGCTTGTGCCACTGCAATTTCACGGTAGGCAGGAGTCGTTACATCATATGTGTGTATCTGTGTGACTGATAGTGGGATGAATGTGCATAAAAAAGAATAAAAGGTGTATAAAGTTGTATATAATCTGAAGAAAATAATAGCGATAAGCAATTCACTGAAGGTGTTTTGTTCTGATTTTTGTTTCTTTTTTTTTTGGCAATAAAGTGGATTTTGTCTTTCTTTCTGAGTCAGCAGTGAGTTCCTCTCTCAGCCATTTCAGCTGTCTTGGTATTAATCACAGAGATTACGACGGGTTTCGGCACACAGATGCAAGAATCACTTTATACTCAGCTGAAGGTCGACTCAGATTCTGAACTGATTTCTGACAAACGTGTTGCATCGCTGGGGAGAGGGTGGCTCACGGACAGTGAAGGAGCTAAAAACTCAGAGCCTGAGGACGCTGACTATCCCCAATCTGCCCTGTCTCTCTCACCTGCCCGCAGACACGCTACATACAGTAATTCACCCGCCCGCCACTGAGTTTTCTGGGGCAAACCAAAGACACGGCGTGCAGAAGAAAAATACTCCCTTTTCAGAGCTTGTTGTCTGTCTGATTCCTCTACAGTCACTCCTCTACCATAACTACTTAACCTGTATAAAGCAAATGTTTATATCATATATTTGAATTTAGAGATGTGAGTCAGACAAAGTGCTCAGGGATACAACAGCCAGAAACTAGGCAAGCGTGTCACTAACCAGCCAGATACATACGTGTGGTGGGCACAGAACCAGCGAGGGCTGACCCTCCGCACACACTGACTCACTCACGCAGCAGTTAAACTGGGACAGTGCCCTTTGGGAGTAGGCGGGGCTTACCGAACGCCTCTGTCAGAAGGAGGAAGTCACAACGCCATTTGGTATGCTACTTCCTCTCAAAAAAAAAACAAAACACTACTGTGGTTTTCCTGTTTTGTACTTTTTGCTCAGCTATCATGTCACCCCCCCCCCCCCTCCCCCCACCTCTAACACAGATAAGTAACTACGACAGATAAAAGTCAAATGCTTGTGCAGGAATGTAAGAACTTTGCATGGGGACAGACGAGAGCGATTTGCTTCCGCAAGCTCAAAAACGTCAGAGATCTTCAGGGCTGAGTGGAGGGCAGACGGTTAATGAGTCTCACTAAGCATGATGCTGGTATAACGTGATAACGAGTTTCCAGTTAACGCTCCCGTTTATCTGGAAAGGCTCCTGACGGCTAGATTCTGAACACGGGGAGGGATACGTGATCAGGGCGCAGGCTTTCAGTAAAGCTGAGTGTGGACGTTTCAGCATGTACTGTATGGTGTTGTCGTCCCGCAGATAAACTCCACCCTGGGTCTCAGTTTATTGTTATCACTCCTACCATCCTTAGTTCACCCCCCCCCCCAGCTCACCGACAGTGGCGGAGTGCCATCGTCCTCCACGGTCACCGTGAGGCGGTACTGCTGCTGCCGCTCACGGTCGGGCGGCGAGGGTCGGGTTACGATCTCCCCGGTGACGCGGTCCATGCGGAAGGTCAGGTCCTGGTTGCCCCCGGTGATGTAGTAGAAGAGCATGGCGTTGGGTCCGATGTCCCGGTCAGTGGCTGCCACGCGCAGCACAGACGTTCCTCCACCCACGTTCTAGGCCCAAAGAGATTCGGGGTGTGAGGCCTATGTGTCGCCTCTGTTTGACGGTCCCGCCAAACAAACTGCTTCCCCAGACCCCCTGTCATCAAATCATAATCTCCAGTGGACTTTTCACAGGTATGTTTACACGAAAAATATTTCAGTTTCCTAAACCAGATAAATGAACAGGTTTCAAATGAAAGACAGCATGTCTTTAGACTGCAGGTGGAAACTGGAGTAACAGTTTTCTTAATCTGTGTTTCCCAATGCGGTCCATGGGGACCCACAGCTGGCCCAGGTTTTTGCTCCCTCCGAGCTCCCTGCCAGACAGTCCACATTTTTGCTCCCTCCCAAAACATGAACTGTCTGTGGATCCCTGAGGACCGGATTGAAAAACACTGATCTAGATAAATAAAATGAATCCTGAATTGAATACACAAGAGCTGTATGACTCCAGGTCTCAAGGACAGCAGTTTAACTGTCCAAGTGCAACGACCACATCTGTTATTATTAGTCTCTATGAGGTGTTCAGTGAATCATGAAGGCTGTGACACTTTGACACTTGGGTTCTAAGTGTCAATATGGTTAAAAGTGATAAAAGCCTGAAAAGGGAATTAAAATATTAACTGCTGTGAAGCTGGTAAGAATTTCAGTTGAACTTGCATCTCTGTGGTTAGAATCAGGAGTCGTTTCCCATGCATGTGGCACTGGGCCCCCCCGTGTTCCCTGGGCCCCCCCCGTGTTCCCAGGGCCCCCCCGTGTTCCCTGGGCGCACCTCGCTCACGCTGACGTTGTAGCCATTCCGGCTTTGGATGATTGGGGGGTTGTCATTGACATCCAGGATGTTGACGGTGAGGGTGAGCTCACTGAATCGGGGAGGGGAGCCATTGTCTGTTGCCCTCACCTGCAACGAAACACGTGTAAACATCACAGGTATGATGCTGATATTCAATAATATAATAATAATAATAATTTAACACTTTTATTAATCCCCATGGGGAAATTCTTTTTACGCCTCCCTCAACTTGCTCTTTGTAGAGCAAGCTGTCCGCGAAGCTGACCCGCAGACCTGCTGAGGCTGGGCTTGAACCGGCGACCTTGTGATTACAGGCACACAGCTTAGCCCACTGAGCCACACGCTGCCCCTATGTAAAATCTGCCCCCACGCTGCCCCTATTCAATGTAAAATCTGACATCCATCTGTCCATTTTCCATACTCGCTTGTCCTATGCAGGACTTTGGGGATCTGGAGCCTATCCTGGAATCTGTGGGGGCAAGGCAGGGAACGTGGGGGTAAGGCAGGGAACAAGGGGGGAAGGCGGGGAACAAGGAGGGAAGGCAGGGAACAAGGGGAGAAGGCAGGGAACAAGGAGGGAAGGCAGGGAACAAGGGGAGAAGGCGGGGAACAAGGAGGGAAGGCAGGGAACAAGGGGAGAAGGCGGGGAACAAGGGGGGAAGGCGGGGAACAAGGGGGGAAGGCAGGGAACAAGGAGGGAAGGCAGGGAACAAGGGGGGAAGGCAGGGAACAAGGGGAGAAGGCAGGGAACAAGGAGGGAAGGCAGGGAACAAGGAGGGAAGGCAGGGAACAAGCCAGGACAGGGCAGCCACCCCTTACAGGGCAGACAAATCGAACACTTCCGATCACAGTCCCTATCCGCAGAGCCCCACCCTACCGATCCTTCCACAATGACACACGATGGCCTCACCTTAAGAAGGTAGCGGTCCACAGTTTCCCGGTCGAGGGCTGAGTTGACGTGGATCTCCCCGTAGGTGTTGTTGGTGGTGCGAACCTCAAACACGTCACGCATGTTGCCGGCCACCAGAGTGAAGTTAACCTGAGGCAGCCAATTAGGCACATACAGGAAATAAGCTTGCAGGTATTTCAGTCCGCCTTGTGGCTGGATATGGGGCTTACACAGGCATGTTAGAGGGAAA